TTTTTCTCAGTTTTGCACAAAGAGTCTATTATATCACCTTTGTACCGCAGAGTTAAAAATACCTGCATACCCAGTATATAAGAAGTGCGGGGAATTGAGAAGAATTGAAAATTTTTAACTTTATGCAGAAAAGTTTAAATTATAATTTAACCTTTTCTGTATAAAATTGGACACAAACGGAATTCAAAAGAATTGATAATTATTAATTCTTTTGAATTGATAATTATCAATTCTTTTGAATTCCGTTTGTGTCCAATTTTTTTTTAATTCTTTTTTGAGGCTAAGATTTCTTAAAAGTGAATTCCAATCAATTCCGTTTTAATATTTTTCTAAATTTTCAATTCGTTTAAATTAACAAGAGCTCGAACTAGGTCCGTAAATGCCATAAAAATCCGTAACTTTGCTCAAAGTCCATAAAAGTCCGACTTTAAAAAAAAAAAAAAAGGTCCGTAAAATCCGTAATTTAATTCAAAAAGAATAAAAAGTTTCTAAATTGTACGATATAATTTGGAAAATTTTTGGAGAAATTACAAATAATTGCAGTAATTCGATTATTTTTAAAAGTAAAATTCTTCGCAAAAGTTCAATTGTGTTGAAAAATTTTTAAAAACTCGTCAAAATTTCAATTATCTTTGTAAATAATAAAATTCCTCACGGAAATTCAATTATTTGCAAAAATTTTAAAAGAATTCTTGGCAAAATTTCAAATTATTAGCAAAAATTTTCCTCAATTCAATATGATTTTCAGTATTTACTATTTTAATAAAATTTTCCAATAGAATTCAATTATTTAAAAAAATATTTTTGTTAAAATTCTACACGAACATTCAATTATTTTCTAAAATAATAAAAATTTCCCAGAAATTCAATTATATTTACAAATTTTTTTATAAATTTCTTTGCAATAATTCAATTATTTTAATAAATAATGAATTCTTTTACAAAAATTCAATTATTTTCAAAAAATTCTTTTTAGGAATTCAAATATTTTTATAAATAATAAAACTCATTGCCAAATCTCAATTCTTGAAAATTTTATTAAAATTCATCGAAGGAATTCAATTATTGAAAAATTTGTTGATAAAATTCTGTATGAGAATTAAATTTTAAAAAACATTCAATTATTCAAGAAATTATTTACTTTGTTCTTTAAATAATTGAATTCTCGTAAAATGTAAAAAATATTTTTATAAAATTTTTAGCAAAATTTCAATTATATTATCAAAAAAGTTTCTCAATTCAATGATATTTTCAATATCTACTATTTTAATAATATTTTCCAGAAAATTCAATTATTTTCAAAAAAAAAATTTCCTCAATTCAATGATTTTCAAATTTCAATACCTACTATTTTCATAAAATTTTCCAAAAGAATCCAATTATTTAAAAAAAAAATTTAATAAAATTCTACAAAAACATTCAATTATTTTCTTAAAATAATAAAAATTTCACAAAAATTTCATTCAATTATTTGAAAATTTGTTGATAACAATTTTTTATGGGAATTGAGTTTTAAGAAACATTCCATTATTCAATGAATTATTTATTTGCATTTTATTTGTATTTAATTAATTTAATTCAAGTAGAATTTTCTAATAAAAATTGATTTTCATTTCATAAAAATGAATTTCAATTAAAATTTTAGATAATAATTGAATATTAAATGCAAAATAGCATGAAGTTTTAAAAATAATTGAATTTTGAAATTAATGTTTTTGAAAAAGTTTAATTGAATTTTTTTTAAATATTTTAAAAGTTTGTTTTGATGTTTTGTCCCATATAATTAATTTAATAGTAGTTTAAAATTGGCATTTGTATAGGACATGAAATGTATATACAACATTTACGTTTCGAAACCGGTACCGGTCTCCTCATCAGAATTTTATTCAAAAATCTATAAAAATACAAATTCTTAATATTACTTATATACTCTAATTTTTAATTTTTAACATAATTATTTAAATTTTAAGTTTTTTAAAAAAAAAAAAAAAAAAAAAAAAAAATCCAATATTATTACATACCATAAAATATGCCATAACTTAAAATTCGGGTATGCATGTGAATAAATCCAAATGCAAAAAAATTAACCTAAAAGTTGTTTTTTTTTTTTTTTTTTGGTCATAACTATAACCAGATGTTTTTTGGTTAATTTAAAAAATTGTTAATATTTTGCAAATATTTTTGCAATAATGACCAGTATGGCAACATTTTTGCATCGGATCACAATACATACTGATCTTACTATATATAAGTTACGTAACACTAGAAACAGTTTGAGTCGAAAATCATACAATATATATATAAGGAACGTAATAGACGCATAGAACGCAAGACCATGACCGTACATACTAAAATATTTTCATTTTTAATATTTAAATTTTGATCAAATTTTAAAAAGAATTTTTTAATTAATTTATTTTTAATACTTAATTTTTTTGATATATAATTTTAAAAAATATTTTTACAAAAATTATTATAGAAATTTTAAAAGTCTATTATAAGAAGAATCGAAATTTTCTAAATCAGTAATTTTATTTAAACTATTTTTTCCTTCTTCTTTAATATAAAACATTTCTGAGATTCTCCTTTTTGTTAAATTAGATTCTCTATGTTATATAAAATAATATAAAAATAATAAAATATAAAATAATATAAATAATATAAAAATTATATTCTCTATTTTTTTTAAATACTATATTGAAAGTTTTTATTTTCTAATATTTTTTTTAAATTGAAGAATTTACAAATAATTAAAATTTCGTAAAATAAAATTGAATATTGTAAACAAATGGATTTGAAAATTTAAAATATTGTTAAAAAATTTTCACAATTTCTAGTTGTTATTATAATTTTTTTTTTTAACGAAATCTCAAGTATTTTTTTTTAAGAATTAAACAATTATGGTAAATTTCATTTTTTAATCATATACCTATTTTATTGTCATTACAAAAATTGAATATTTTTAGAAAAAAAAAATTTTGAAAATTACCTTTTTAGAAAAAGAAACTTTTTGAAAATGACCTTAATTCGAAGAAAGAAAATTAGGAAATTCAGTGTGAAATTAGGAATTTTTATTAAAAATAATGGAAAAAAATCAAATTTTTAGAATTCATAAGAAAATTCTAAAATTTTCATTTTTAATGAATTTAATTAGAAATTATAATAAACTTAGACTTTTTAACAATTTTAATAATTCAAATTCTTCTGAAATTGTATATATTTTTTAATTATGCATTTAATTAATTATTAAAAATAATGGATTTATAGAAGAATTTTAGTTAGAAACACAAAAAAATTGAATTTTGGAGAAGTTACAAATGATTGCAGAAATTCAATTATTTTCAAAAGTATTTTTCGTGGAAATTCAATTATGTTCGAAAATTTTTAAAAATTAAATTATCTTTATAAATAATAAAATTCTTCTTCGAAATTCATTTATTTTCGTAAATTTTAATAAAATTCTTGGTAAAACATTTAATTATTTTCATAAATAATAAAAATTTCACAGAAATTCAATTATATAATTGAATCTTTTTTTTTTTATAAATTTCTTCGCAATAATTTAATTATTTTTATATATAAAAAAATTTTTTATTGGGATTCAGTTATTTTCCTAAATAATAAAACTAATTGCAGAGTTTTTATTTTCTAATATATATTTATAATATTGAAGAATTTCCGAATTGGCAGAAAAGGAATTTAAAAGAATTACAAATTTCTAATTCTTTTTAATTTTTCACTTCTTTCTGGAAACAACACCTGTGACCTTCGTTCAATATTAATTCGGTGATACTTTTATATTTATAGTCCATTTGCTTTTCAAATATTAAAAATTTCGCATTTTTTCATTGTAACAATTATAAAATTCTTTTTATCTATACTTTACGGTTTCTTTTTGCATCACGACTTTAAACAAAGAATGTCAATCCATTATGTTTTTCACATTTATAGCTATTCTTTTTTTAAAAAAAAACTTATATTACAGAAAAAATTATTTTAATTGCAATTAAATATTCTTTTTATTAAAATATTTAAAAATATCACAAAATGTAGATAATTTGGTTACAAATATTTCACAAAACCACATTGTTTTAATTAAAATTTTTCATTTTTCGAATTTAAAAAAAAAATTGTTAATATAGTATAATATTTTGTCTTTTTAAAAAAATTTATAAAAATATGCTTTTTTAAAAATTTTTGAAAATATTTTTTTTTAATTTTTGAAAATATTTTTTTTTAAAACTGCGCTTGTAAATTCCATAACATTTAAAATATATATATTATAATTATTAGAAAATTCATTATAAAAATTAAAAAAAATTTTATTATGAACATTACAAAAATTTTAAAAATAAACATTTTTTCTAATTTTCTTTAAAAAATTACGGAAAATATTTTTTTTCGACATTTTGTAAGAAATAATTTGTTAAGCTTGAAAATTTAATCATTTCTTATCATTCCTGTACAAAAAAATATTATTTGCACGATTTTTTTTTTTTTTTTTTTTTTTTGATAAAAAAGGGATATATAAATTATCGCAAATTTTTTAAAAGCATTTAGTCATTCTACTCAAAGGAATCACTCTTCAAATTCCTGTCACTACAAAAACACGAAATTTAAGGAATTTTTCTTGTAATTTTTATAAAGTTAATTACAAAAAATATTCAACATGAAACTTTCAATTTTTCTAATTTTTTTCGTCTTATGTTTGATAAATAATAATTATCAATCTGTTTCTGCAATGGAAGATGAAGAGCTTTTAATAAATTATGAAGAAGGTTTCGAAACTATAAGAGAAGCTGAAGGTAAGCTTTTTATTTTCTATTTTTATAAAAATTTTTAAAAAAAAATTTTAAGAATAATAATCATAACATAATTTAACAAAATATGAATAACAGAATAATAATCATAATTTCTAAAATAAATGAAATATTTTAGTTAACTGCATCAAAAAGAAGATAAAAAAAAGTAATATTTTAAATCTCTATCCTTTTGAGTACTATATTTATAAATGCCTTTACCCCATGCATAAATATTTTTTATGGAATAAAGCAAAAAGTAAGTTAAAATTTGAATGTAAAAAATATTATAACAATAGTAAATAAATTGAAAAAAATATAAATAATTTTATATTTTTCAAAAATTTTAGAAGATTGTATCAAGAAAGGTAGTGATAATAGATTCTACTGCAGAAAACATCCACCTGGATATTTAAATTCTTTGTGGTAAATGAAAATTACTATTATTTTTGTTTGTTCCACACAGATCTTCAAATTTTAAACTATTTATTCTTAAATTTTCCTAATTTGATCATATATTTTAACTAAATTTTATATTTTTAAAATTTTTAAATTATATAAAATAAAATGTGCTGTTTAATTAATACAAACCACTACATTAAGAGTGTAGACACTTTAAAAAAAAAAAAAAAAAAAAAAAAAAAAATAATGATATACAGTAAATATAAAATAAAAGATATAGATGGAAAAATTCAACATTGTGTATACGATAATATGCGTTTAATAAATTTTAAATTACAGGAGAAAAGCTACTGGACCAAGAAGGTACTAGAGCTTAGTACAGTGACTATTTCAACATGTTTTTTTTTATAACAAAACACTATAAACTGTACATTTCTATTTTCTTGTTTTACTCTCTTAAATTTATGTAAATTTTGTCCTTAGGAATAAATAAAAAATTTACTAAACTTTATATCGACTTATTTCTTTATCAACTTTGATTTTATAAAATAATTTTAACCCTTATTTTTGTTTTTGAAAACAGACTTTTTAGAAATGAATGAAATTAAAAAGTACTTTTCTTAAAAAAATTTTTTTTTTAAATTTACAAACATTTTTCTAAATTCTAGAAAATAATTGTATATTAGAAAAGAGTTTTAGAAAATAATTGTACAGAAATATTAGAAAAGAGTTTTAGAATATAATTGTATAGAAATATTAGAATTTTAAAAGGTTTTTAATTTAAAATTTTTAAATATTTAAATTCTAAGTATAACTGTAATTAAAAATTTTAGAAACTATTTTAATGTTGGAAGAGTTGTAGAAAATATTTAATTGCAGAAATATTAGAATAAAATTTTAAAAGGTTTTCAATTCAAAATTTTTGAAAATTTGAATTTTAATTAACTTTATTTAAAAATTCCAGAGAACTTATACAAGTTGAATGAAAAATTTTAGTTCAAAATTATTTTTTGAAATTATTTGAATTTTTTAATAATATATATTATTTAATTAAACAAAACATTCAAATAATCAAAATTTTGTAACCAATTGAATGGAAAACATTTGATTTTTGGCGAATTTCGCAAGTAAACTTTTTTTTTAAATAATTAATTTTTCGAAAAAATTTTTCAAAATTATTCAAAATATTTAAATACGTATAGAAAATTATAATGTTTTTGAAAATTATTAAACTAAATTAACACCAAAAGAGATTAATTCAATCAATTCTTAATTTTTTTTTTTTTTTTTTTTTTTTTTTTTTTTTAATAATGAATCATTTTAAAAAATATTCCTTGTGTATATGGAAAAAAGTTAAAAATCAGTTTACTGTGAAAGAAATGTAATTTTTTTGTTCTTCTGTAAGAAATGTTTTATTTTTTTTTTATTTTAATGAATTTTCATAACTTTTTATAAATTTTTAACAAGAAAAAATAAAGATTGAAATAAAGTCGAATTTTTCATCTACCATATGGATTTATTTCATAAACTGGAAAATACAATAATAAAGGTAGAAATGTCATTTAATCTTGAAAGAATGCGTTGATTGTAATGTTTATTGTAAAATTTAAAAGTAAATTTGACAATTGTCTTGATTAAATTATTTTTTAAGTACTCGTATTTTTCCTGCAGTAAAATAGACCATTACTTTTTTGTTTGACACAAGTTCCTAAAATTTAATAATACACAATTGTATATTTATTAATAAAAAAAATTTATTATTGTCATACCTTTCATGAAATAAGATTTTAACTTACTCTTTGCTTCTCGTAGTGACATCAATCTACTAGGAGAGTCTTTACAATAAAAATAATGATTAATAAAAGGTGCCGAACGTTTCTTATGTGATTCTCCGATACAGATGCCTAAAATATTTTTATTACTTTATAAATACATATTATTAATAATAATATTATTATTATTTTATACAATGTTAATATTTTGAATTTTAATTTAATTTCAATTCACTACATTTATTTATACGTTGTACTGGTATTTTATTTATTTTTTTTTATTCTACGTACTGCATAAAACTGCATAATGCAGAACTTACGTTGAGCGTCTTCTTCTGAATTGTGGCCTAAATTCAATAATAGTTGGTTAAAATCGTACAAGCCTGGAAATAAATAAACAATTATTATTATTATTAAAAAAAAAAAAAAAAAAAAAAAAAAATACTCTATTATTATTTATAATATACTCTATAAAATTATAAAACAGAAAACTTACCATTATCTTCATCGTCATCTACTATTGATGTGTCTCGTACATCATCTATATAGTTATGATCGAGCATTGCAAAAATAAATTGATAGTTATTATTTATTAAACATAAAATTAATAATAATAATCGAAACTGTTAAAAATCATGATTTTTATAAAAAAATAAAAACAATTTGATTAAATCTTTAATTTATTTATTTTCTTTTACGGTGTCAAATTTAAAAGCTGATTACTCAATTTATAATTTATTATTGTATAAAATTAGAAAATATAAACAATTTACCTCTAATGACTTCTGAATCTAATTGTTCAGATGATGGATTGCTGCCCTCTTAATGGCAGAAACAAATAGACAATATTGTTATGTATAATAATTCAAAAATGATAAATAAGTTTCAATTTAAACATTTTTATAGTTACAAATTTTAATAACTTTTTAAAAATAAAATTTTATAAATGATTTTTTTATAATGACACATAAGTATACTAAATTCAAGTATAAAATTATAATCAAATAAGTGATAAGTGTAAATTCTTACTCTAATTTTAAGATGATCAAAATAAATATAAATTATAATTAAAAGATATTTTTAAATATTTTCCTTTATGGAATAAAATTTAAATTTTTGTAATTCAAAACGTTTTCCTTATAAAATAATTATAAATTTATAATATAATATAAAAAAGTATCACCTCTACCATTTTCAACGGAGTCAGAAACACTGTCAATTATTTCACCATTGTGGACGGCAGAAACAAATTGATAATTATTTATCAAGCTTAAGATTAAAAATAATACAAAAATTTGAATCTTCATTATTATATTTTTATTAATTAATTTTATTACAAATTTTACACAAAAATATTTTTCACAATTTTTTTTTTAATTCAGTTTTGCTAAGTTTTCAGCTAAATTTAAATTTTGTACATAAGTGAATCTGGTAGAACGGTAAAATATTTTTATACATTTTTTTGTGATAATTTTTATGAATTTTTTTTTAATCGAGAGAAAAAGTCGTGCAAATAATATTTCTTCATGTTATACTAAAGAACAAAATACCCCAAAATATTTTCCATTTTAATGTTATAACAAAAATTTTTATCTATAGTTTCGAAAAAAATATTTTTAACAAATTTACAAAATAATATACTTCATTTTTATTTTGTCTTTATTTTTCATTTTTTTATTTTGCAAATTTTTGAAATAATTTTATGATGAAATTTTTAATTTAAAAAAAAAATTTTTTAAATAAGTAATAATTTCATATAATAAAATATGAAAATGTAAAACTAAAAATATAATTATTAATATATATATATGTATATATATTAATAATAATAAATTTATATTATTAATAAAAAACGACATATTCGGACAACAATGTTACTTTTTATTTTTTTTAAATTTTAGTTGTAAAAGTTTAAAATAAACGTATAACATATATAAAATATTAACTAAATTAACTGAATAAATGATAAAATGTAATTTTAAAATATTTATAAAAATTTATAATAACAATAAAATAAAATAATAATAAATAAAATAATATAAATAATATAATAGAAAAATGGAAAAAAATGAATGGCAATTATAATGAAAAGTTTTTTAAAGCAATATTTTTCACATTAAGGTTTATTATTAGAGACATACATTTAAAAACATAAACAATATATTTGAATTATTAAAAATTTTAATTATTTTTATTTTTTTTTTTAAATAATTATTTAAAAAAAAAATTAAAATTAAAAAAAAAAAATTAATTAAATTAAATTAAAATTAAAATTTTTAAAAATTTTTAATTTTAATTAAAAAATTTCAAAATTGCTTTCCATGTACTTTCATTATTGTTGCATTTTATTTTCCTTTAGAAAATAAAATAAAATTTGTACTTGGTTTTTTTAGAAACTATATAAAAATTTTTTTTTAAATTTTATTAACCACATGAATCACGAATTTCAACTTTATTATAGTATGAGTATACCCGCTGCTGTATATATCTATATGTTTATAGATAAGTTGTATAATCGACCGTTCGCGCCACTCTTTCAGGGCTGTCACTAAAATTCAAACGTGCCTTACTTTCCCATAAAAAAATCCAATATAAAAAAAATCAGTAAATAAGCTATAAAATAAAATATCAAATAATACACGTGTACAAGAAAGTTTATGAAAAAAATTTATAAAAACTCAAATTTTTTTTTAACTACTAAAAATATATTTTATATATATTTTTATAAAATTTGTGTTTTTATTTTGCCTAATGTTAATTTTAATAGAATAATGTTGAAATTTATTTTAGTTAATAGGAATTTTATAAAATTAATATTAGAAATTAAATAAAAATTAATAATTATGAAAAAGTCGAAAAATAAATAAAAGTTAGTAATAGAAAAATAAATATTAATTAAAAACAAAAAAAGAGAACAATAATTTTAAAACATTAATAGAAAATAACAAAAAAATTGAAAAAGAAGAAAAGTATTAAAGAATTTAAATAAGTAGGAAAATAAATAAAATGGAGTAATAAAAAATGTAGAAAAATAAATATAAATTATTAATTGAAAACAATACAAAAATAAAAAAAAAATTGGATAAATTATTCTATACATTAAAAAAATATTAATTTAATTTTTTTTATTGAATTTATTTCCCTTCGACTTTTTCCCGTTGAAAAATAATAAATAAAATATTTTGTAATATTTAATATTTAAACTGATAAGCTATGTATGATAAGTAGTAATTCTTTTACAAATTATAAAAAAAAATCATTTATCGAAATAATTGTTTCACTATAAGAAAGAAACATGTAAATAAACACTTAAATTATTAATTTTTGTTATTTTAGTAAAAATTTTAATTAACATTTAATATTAATATTTATTTTAATATTTATTTATCAATATTATTAATAATGTTAATACGTTAATGTTAATTTTAGTATAATAAGGTTAATAATAAAATTTATTTTAGTTAACAAACGGTAGTTAAAAAGAATTTTATAAAATAAAAATTAATATTAGAAATTAAATAAAAATTAATTATTATGGAAAAGTATAAAATAAATAAAACTTAGTAATAAAAAAGGTAGAAATTTAAATATGAATTAAAAGCAAAAAAGTAATTAAAAAATATTAATAGAAAATAATAAAAAATAACAAAAAATTAGAAAGGAAGAAAATTATTAAAGAATTAAATAATTAAACTAAATTAATAAAATAAATTAAGTAATGAAAATTAAATAAAAAAATTAATATTTGATATTAAGTAAAAATTAGTAAATACATATGGAAAAGTCGAAAAATAAATAAAAGTTAATAATAGCAAACAGAAAAATAAATAAAAATTAAAAAAAGAAAAAAAAAGAGAAAAATTAAACATAAAAAAGCGAAAAAGAAATAAAAATTATTAATTATAAATAACAGAAAAATAAAAAAATATTGAAAAAAGCATTCTACATAGAAAGATTTAAAAAAATAAAGTATTTTTTAATTTATTTCGTTTAAATTTTTTCCCGTTAAATAATAATAAATCAAATATTTTGAAATACTTACAATTTAAACTGATAAACCATGAGTACTATTTTTTTACAAATAATGTAAAAAAAACATTTGTCGAAATAATTGTTTCAGTATAGGAAAGAAACATATAAATAAAACATTTTTTTAAAATTTTCGAATTAAAATAATTATATTATAATTCAGTGTGTAAATTTGAGTGATAAAAAAAATTTATCAACCCATAATGTTGCTTTTTATAAATTTTTTGCTAAATCCCAAGGCTCCGAGTGCGTCGACGACTTTACTGGTATTTGAGTGTGAAAATCTAGTAGGCAAAATTACCGGCAGATGGTGGCGCAGTAGAGATTAAGATGGCGCCGCACGATCAATGAAATTGGAGTAATTCGTAGTAAAATTGAAAAAAAGGAAGTTGTACAGGTGAAATTCGTGTTGTGTATTGTGTGTAAATGGGCGATGGGCAAAGATCAGGAGCTGCTGGATGCAGCCCGAAGCGGAAATGTGACAGTGGTGGAGAAAATTCTGGGTCAACGTGCGAAGAGGAGTGGTCCCTTGGCAAGGTGGGTGTCACACTTAAAGTATACACGATTTACCTTTTTTTTTCTACAAAAACTTAGACATTTATCTCAATTTTCATTTCAAAAGAAACACAAAATTTTCCACTCGTGACACTATTTTTTTTATTTTTAAAATTAAATGCCGGGAATTTGTTATAAAAATTGTGTTTGTATTTTTATTTTGACAATTTAATAATACAAATTTTTGCCGGAATTGTTATTTATTTATGGGAAAAATGGTATTGAATTTAAAAGATAATTTCTATTGGGACAATTGTATTTTATCGTTTCTTTGATAAAATTCTTGTCTTGTGTGTTTATGGGAATCTGTTGCTTTTGTGAGAAGTCAATAATATTGAGGTTAGAATGACACTCATCCCTTCTTGTCATTAATCATTCCGGGGAATTCCATTGAATCTCTATTCTAAATTTTCCACCTATTTTTTTTTTGTAGATAGTTAATTATTTTTTTACTAGTCATGAATTTTATTATTATATCTATATTAAATGTTTTTGTACACACAATTTTATATATACACAAAAACTGTAAATATAACTTCACTAATTGTCAAACTGAAAAAATTTAATTCAAAATTTCTTTTTTAACTAAATTAACTTTTTTTTTATTTAACTTTTTTTTTACTAAAATTAGTTTTTATTAAATATTTTACTTGCTATTGAATAGTTCAAACATAACCTAAAATTTTTTGCATATTAGATACCTTTCTTCAGTACTTACATTTTATTTTAATTTATTTTAATATTTTAATATAAAGTTAAAACTGGTACTTTAAAATATAATTTTTTAAAACCAAAAATTAAATAGATTTTAATATTTTAAGATTATAATACTTTAATATTTCAATATTTTAATTTGTCTTAATTTTTTTACCAAAAATAACATTTTCATTCAATTTTTATTATTATGACAAGTGTTTTACAAACTAGGTTATGTTACGACTCTTTCAAATATCAGACATTTTGATTAATATGTCAGAAGATTAATATATCTTATCTAATAAGTTTAGATAGTGAAGTTAAATACCCACGACGTCTGACGTATAGTTCACCTTCTTAGATATATTGACCGGCAATATCAAGATAGTAATCTTTAATATCCATTTTTCACAAGAGACAGTGAAGAAAGCCTATTTTCCTAAAATTATGAACTATATAGAATATTTTTAGCATTATTCTCTCACTTTATATTTTTCTATAAAAAATTCCTTTTTAGGGTAACTAGTAGACAAATCTTTGAAAATTTATTTTTGAATAACATTACAATTTTTAAAAATTAACTTTTAAATATAATTTTAACTTATTTGAAAATTTTGGAAATAATTGCGATTAATGTTAACCTAACGTTAGTTTAATTTTTTAAATTTTTTTAGAGGACATTCACATATAAATAATTTAATTTTGAACCCCAAAATAATAAATATCGTTTAATTAATTTCGAAAATTAGTTTTTGATTTCTCGCGTGACGCCAACTTAAAATAAGCACCTAAAAACAGAATATAATCTCTATTCCGTCATTCACGGTTTTATGATTATTAATTTTGCATATATTGACGATTGAAACGAAGAAAATGACCGTATTAAAGATATTTTTAGAAAAAATGTAGGTCTGCTTCTGATTGTGGGTCTATATGAGTAATATTCCGTATTGTATATATAGGTGCAGAAATCACTCTCCCCCCTCTTGTATTATACAGGTATAGTTGATACATGTATGCAGTATATTCAGAATGCGTAAGCTGCAGATTCAAGTTGCTGAAAATAGAGAGAGAGAGAGAGAGAGACAGAGA